TACATGAAGGTATAATTCAGTCAAGTACCTCTGAATATGCCAGTCCTATTGTTCTTGTTAAAAAAAAATGGATTGACTGACATTTGCATTGATTACCTGAACAAGCAGATTGTTATGGATCATTACCCATTGCCTCTGATTCAGGATCAACTTGATCACCTGGAAGGGGCTAAGGTGTTTAGCACTCTTGACCTGAAAAATGGAATCTTCCATGTCCCAATTAAGAAAAATTCATGCAAGTATACTGCTTTTGTTGCCCCCTGATGCACAATATGAGTTCCTGCATGCATCTTTTGGGCAGTGCAATTCTCCTGCTGTTTTTCAAACATTTATTAATACTATTTTTAAGGAACTGACTTGTCAAGGAATTGTTGTAATATATATCAATGACTTAGTAATACCTTCTGCTGATGCCAAAACTGGTATGCAGAGACTAAAGTTAATGTTGAAGACAGCAAGTCAATTTGGATTGGATATCAATTGGAAAAAATGTTGCTTATTGCAGAAAGAAATGATCATCTTAGGACATTCAATTAGAGAAGGGGAGATTAGATCCTCCAGTGTTAAGATAACTGTCATAACTAAATTTCCTGAACGCAAGATGTTAAATCTGTTCAAAGTTTCATTGGTTTGGCGAGTTATTTTAGAAAGTTTGTACCAAATTTTGCATTGCTTGTAAGACTGCTGACTAATCTGCTATGCAAGGACTCTAAATTCTCTTTTGGCAAAGCTGAACAAGACACTTTTGGTAAACTAAAATCTGTGTTAATCAGTCAACCAGTCTTGAAACTATACCGAAACACTGCCGAGACAGAACTACACACAGATGCGTCAAGTTTTGGTTACGGGTCAATCTTACTGCAGAGAGACCCAGAAGACAGTTCATTGCATCCTGTTTATTATGCTAGTGGTAAGACTACTCCAGCTGAAGAAAAATACCATAGTTATGAGCTGAAAGTGTTGGCTATTGTAAAGGCTTTAAAAAAGTTTCGAATATACCTACTTAGAATAGTGACCCTTCAAAATAGTGACAGACTGTAAAGTGTTTGAGAGGACAATGAAGAAAGATCTTTGTGTCAGAGTTGCCAGGTGGGCACTCTTGTTAGAAGAATTTCATTATACAGTTGAGCACCGATCTGGAACTAAAATGAGGCATGTAGATGCTCTAAGTCACTATCCTACTGCTGATGTAATGTTGATTGAAGAAAACAAAGATAATGTCGTAGCTAGACTCAAAAATGCACAAAAAGAAGATAGTGAATTAATGGAGATAATTAATAAGATAGATATGGAAAAAGTAAATGGTTATGAAGTAAAACATGGAACTCTGTACAAGGAAGTAGATGGGGAGTCATTAATAGTGGTTCCCTTACAAATGCAAGCCAATATTATCAGAAAAGTGCACAAACAAGGCCACTTTGTCATTAAGAAAATTGAAGCACCACTGAAAAGGGACTATTGGTTCAAAAATATGAATAGTAAAATCGAAAAGATCGTAAGAAATTGCATAAATTGTATCATAGCAGAAAGAAAAAGAGGAAAATCAGAAGATTTCTGAATCCACTTGACAAAGGCAATCAACCTTTTGATACTTATCACATTGATCATCTGGATCATTTAACACAAACTAAGAAGCATTATCAGTACATATCTGCAATTACAGATGCCTTCACCAAGTTTCTGTGGCTCTATTCCACTAAATCAACAGGAGCAGAGGAAGTTATAAGTCAATTGGAAAAACAAGCAGTTGTATTTGGTAACCCTAAGCGAATTGTGTCCAACCATGGATCGGCATTTACATTGAGTGCCTTTAAAGATTATTGTGAGCAAGAAAACATTGAGCATACTCGAATTACCACAGGTATTCCAAGAGCCAATGGACAGGTGGAAAGAATGCATCAAGTCGTCATTTCATTGCTTAGTAAACTGTCTGCGCCAAAGCTCAAAGACTGGTTTAAGAATGTTGATCTGGCAATGAAATACATCAATTCCTTGTGTAACTGAAGTATTGATAGGTCTGCTTTCAAGCTGTTGTTTGGTACCAAAATGCATTTGAAGGAGGACCTTGAACTACAAGAACTGATCAAAAAAGAAAAAATTCTGTGTTTTGAGGAAGAAGGGATGAAATTAGAGCAACGGCAAAAGAGAACATTAAGAAACTGCAAGCGGAAAACAGGAAAACATTTAACAAGAAAAGGAAATGCTCCATCAAATTATTAGTCAATTATCCGGTAGCTGTAAGGAGAACACAGTAAGGGCCCAGCTTAAAAATCCATCCAAAGTTCTTAGGGCAGTACAAAATCAGAAAAGTTCTAAGAAATGACAGATATTTAGTCGAGAAGGTAGGTGATCATGAAGGGCCAATGCAGACGTCTACGTCTGCAGACAACATGAAAGCATGGGTCTATTCAACTAATGAAGTATTCGAATGGTCGGATGGGGACATCAGGGACGATGTCAGCTGTCAGAGTGGCCAAATGTGGAGTTTAGACAAGTAACATTCCTAAACTGTTAGACAATAAATTTACAAGGGAGTTGCGGGGGAGATGAGGAGAATGAGAGAGAGGGATGAGTAAGGGGAGAAGTGAGGAGGATGACAGTTGGTCACGGCACAAAAGGTGCAAAAGACAAAAAAGATGTTATGAAGGCGAGAACATTATCATTCTATCAAGATGGTTACAAATGCTGGAAGATTATTGTCATTTCTAATTCTCTATTTCAATCACTATTCCTACATTATTTACTATTAATAAAAAAGATCTATCAATTCAAATAATTCAATTATCTGTAAAAAAAACAGTTGAAAATAATCCTGTTGAAAAATTAGTTAATTTTTAATTTGTTAAAAAAAATTTTAGAAATTACAGAATATCTATAATCAAAGTTCAGTAGCTTTTGTTACAGACTGCTTGGAATAAGTGAACAGGACAGAACTGCATGAAAATTTCAGTATATCTTAACGAGGCCTTGGAAAGGAAATTTAGAAAAAAATTACTTCCAAAAATCCCCACCAGGGGATAATTTACAAGTTTATTTCAGCGTTACAATACAATACACTGAGATTTGTTAGTCACCTCAAAACATGTTAAATCTGTTGACCACCATTATCTACTATCATCTGAATCTCAAGATAGTATGTTAGACTGTTGAAAAGTTCTGTCAACTTTGCACTAAATGAAACAGACATATATAAATAACTTATTTTATAGTATTGATTACTTTGTGATTTGATTGCATCTCAAATTTTTTAATTAATAAAATATTTGCGATAATTTGTCCAATAATACAACTTTGACAAGTTAGTAACACCCATAAAGGAACAAAACAAAGATTCATTTTAAATATCAATTCTCAAAATCTCACAAGAAACTTTTGGTTATCTGATACAACAAATATTTAATGAATTAACCAAGTTAACAAACTAAGTAAATAATTCATAATTNAACAGATGGCATCACATCCAATTTCATTTATTTTTCCTAATAATATAAAAGTTATTTTTTTAAATAAAAACTCATAACAGCCAGGAAAGTTATGCAACTCATTGCTAGATTATTTTCTTATTTTTGAAATTTTATTATATATTAATCGCTAATTTAATACAAATTTCAGAACAACCAAATACAAGCTTTAGTTGAAAATATTTGTAGTAGCCTGCTGAAGTTATCGTGATGCATAAAGATTGTTAGCAATGCTGTTCCACATCATTCTGTGGTAAAGATTTGTATTAAATATCTGCCATATAAGTTGACACTAGTTTTGTAGAGAATTTTTCAAACTTAAAAAGCCAACTTATACACTGGAATATATGGTAATACAAACTTACACTTATAATACAACTTCCAGCATTTATGTTTCTTACAAATACAAATGGTTTTGGTCTTTTCAGAGGCCCTCTTTGAGTATTAGAACATGAAAGATGAATTATTCCTTTATCACAGATACATCCAAAAGTTCAGCTGTCAATGTTCTACCAATCTTCTTTATCAGTGAAATAATTTGTCTTTCTTTTTCTAATATTTGAAGAGGCTATCTGAAGAGACTGAAAATTTTATATTTGTGAGAAACATAGGTGCTGAAGTTGTGTTAAAAGCATAAATTTGCTTTAACCTAAGGTTCCAGCTTCTGTACAGATTTTACATTAATACAAAAGTAAAAACATTCAGCAATGAGAGTTGCATAACTTTCCTGAATGTTATGAATTTTCATTAAAAAATAACTTTTATAAAGCAAAAAATAATATTGTGTGTGACACCCTCTGTCATCAGATTTTGTTATAAAACCTTTTTATATTTTTAATTATTATAAAATAGTAAAAATCTTGATATTAAGGGTGGAGATGAGTTTAATAAAAGAGTGTAAATTTTAATAATGAATAAAATCTTCATTAAGTCCTACCCCTCTCAAGATACATGACCCCCTTCAACCTTTCATCACCAAAATTTAATAGCAGCAGTGCCCCTCATATACAAGCCACCAGGCCAAATTTTGTTTCTTAATCTTTAGCCCATCCTGAGATATTAAGCAAAATAGACACCAACACACACAAACACACATCCATAAAAATTTTTTTTTTTTACGTTTTTGGATTCAGGGGGTCTCAAAACGTAGAGATTTGCAAAAAACTCAGAGAGTCAAATTTGACATGATTCCAATACTTTCCCTTGTTATGTATATGTTACCGGCAAAGTTTGAAATCCGGCATTCTATAGAATGCCTAGGCATTGTATATAATGCCTAAAACTAGCCGGCAATCTATGAAACGATTTATATTTTACAGATTTCCTAGTCATTCTATAGAATGCCAAATGAGAAACCGGCAAAGTATGAAATACATCTCCGTTTTGTTTCAAATATCACGTAGCAAGGCACGTGACTTTTAACAAGCGGCTCAGGCTTAGAATTTGTGCACTTTGCGGTTTGTTCAGGAGTGTCAAAATACGCAATTTTACTTAAATTTGTTCAACAAAAAATTAGTTTTTTACTGTGGTCCATGAAAATGGAGGAGCAAGCTGTAGTGTTAGAGAAGGTGTCATGGTCTATAGACATGAAACAATGATTCAACGATGAACTGTGCAAAATTCAAGTTAATGCTGCAAAAAACAGTATTTTCTTAACCAAAACTACTTACCAGAAGTTAATAAATGATGTACAAAAAGCCAAAATGACTACTAAGAAGGAACCCAGGGACTATTGGTTGCTGAATCGCTATGATGTGATGATTGTAGAAAACAAAAGTAAACTCATTTATCCTGTTAAAGAAGGCGTCAGTACTATACAGTATTACGTCACGGACTCAGAGTTATTTCACGTACTTCATGAAGCTCATTTGGCTATTGGACACGGAGGACGTGATAGAATGTTGAAAGAACTTTCAATCAAATACAAAAATGTTACACGTCATGATATTGAACTGTACATCCACCTTTGTGAACCTTGCCAGAAAAAACAGAAAGGTATTAAAAAGGGCATTGTTGTGAAACCTATGATTTTTTCCGAATTTAATTCCCGTTGTCAAGTAGATCTTATTGACTTTCAGTCTCAGCCAGATAGAGAATACAAATTTATTATGGTGTACCAAGATCATCTCACAAAATTTGTGATTCTTAAGTCTCTAACGTCGAAAAGAGCTGAAGAAGTAGCCTACAACCTAGTGGACATATTCTCGTTGCTTGGAGCGCCGTCTATATTACAGTCTGACAATGGTAGGGAATTTGCGAATAATGTGGTGACCAGCTTGAAGGAGTTTTGGCCAGCACTGAAGATCGTCCATGGGAAGCCTCGCCATTCACAAAGCCAGGGTAGTGTCGAAAGAGCTAATCAAGATATCGAAAATATGCTCTGTACTTGGATGCAGGACAACAAATCTGACCGCTGGAGTGAAGGACTACGTTTCGTTCAATTTATGAAAAATAGAGCTTATCATTCTGGGATCAAAAGAACACCATACGAAGCTCTTTTTGGCTGCAAACCTAAAGTAGGGCTTTCTTTTCTACCAGAATTAAAAGACATAAATACAGAGGAGCAGCTAGAAAAAGTAATAGAAAGCGTCAAAACAATGGAAAAAGGTGAAACTAATCAGATTACGCAAGATGAGATTATAGTCGTTAGTGGAGTAAACCAACACGATGAAGACATGCTTACTGAAGAGATTTCCGTTTCTGATACCTGTTGTGTGTGTTTAAAGGAAACAAGTGATGCACTTGCATGCAAAAAATGTCGTCAAAAAATTCATACCTTCTGTGGCCATGCTAGTAAAGATGATGAAATGGATATTTTGTGCACCCTTTGTTTCAAAACTGAAAATGCTATTGAAGGTAAAATAAATTCTAAAATCAATCTGGAAATACAAGCCAAAAAATGAAAATAAATTCGGAAAAAAAATTTCCCACTGCTTCTTTGGGAACTACTGTGCGAGTTCCTATTCCTGACGTCGACAAGGGGCGAGGTGATTCGCGCAATATATTGGCAATTGTAATGAGTGTGACAGAGGATGGTTTCTACCGACTTGGAACTTCTGAAGGAATTTTAAAACAAGTATATGCGAGATCACAATTCACTCCATGCCCCAAGAACTTGCTTAGAATTGAAGATATTCCTGACCATGAAATTCCTCTCCGGTCAGTTGCAATTGCTCAGTCCAGTGGAAGCGGCCAAGGATTCGTCAAATGTATGTGTAAAACAAAGTGCCAAAATATGAAATGTCTTTGCGTGAAAAATGTAATGAAATGTAATTCAAAATGTCATTCAAGCCTACCATGTTGCAACAAGTAGGTTAATTGTAATTTTTTATATGAAAATTTTGTTTCCCTTAATAAGAAAGGCATAAATTTTGTTTTGTACAACTTTCATTTTTCTTTACGTATTTTGAATAAATTTTTTTAATGGCACTCTCATTATTTTTTCAGAATAACATTTGTATTTTTGAGGAATGCACGTCATTTATATAATAGCCTTATCAGAACCTTTTTTCATACTTTGCCTAAATAGCATTTGTCATTCTATAGAATGCCTAGGTATTATATACAATGCCTAGGGAAAGTTATGTAATAATTCTCATATTTCATAGATTGCCTAAAAACGCCAGGCATTATATACAATGCCTAGGTATTCTATAGAATGCCGGCTTTTCATACTTTGCCGGTAACATATACATAACAGCTGGGAAAGTAAAATGAAACCTATGCTATTTATGAATATCTAGAAAATTGTATGTAATCATAAAAATTTTTAATTTGAATTTTAAAACATTCAAAAGAATGCACTGTTCCTAATTTGAATGTAAGTGCTATTTGAATGTAAGATGCCAAGTTGGTTAAAATTTAAAAATATTGCTCAGAAATAAGTTTTACTTCATTATTTTGATATTATTTAAGTTTTTTTTTTAAATTTATAACTATTCTGTTCATTAATATCAATCAACTTTAATGGCAACTAATAAGTACAATAGCATTTAATTTATATTACACTATTTCCTTCTTTTTCCATCTTAAAATTAAAATAATTATTTTATACTAGAAAATGTTTAAATTTTGAATAAATATAATAAATATATTACATCAGTATTTACCTGGACCATTTTCTAATATAAAAGTAAAAAACAGTTGTCCTGTTACATGATCAGAAGGATTTTTACTGGAGAGACTGAAGTTTAATTCAAGAGGTACTCTAATTAAGAAAATGAATAATAAAGATTTTTAGATATTAAATAAAATATAAATTAACAAAAAACTTCCTTATCAAATTTTAATTTATTTAATTAAATCATAAATTAATTATTATATTTTAAAATTTAAGTAAATGTGTTAGTTAAATTGAACTTACTATTAAATTACCAACAATTTATGAATATCTTTGTAAAACACTAAATTATATTCTTCTATAAAGCAGCAACTATATATCAAAATAAACTAATAATCTATGTAAAATAATAATTTTCTATACACCTACCTTATAGCAGCAAATTATCCAAATATTAATATATTTATTAGCCCAATCTTTATTTAAAAATAATTGTTCATAATCTATTTTTTGTTATATGAAACTTTGGTATTTATATTTGATATATGAAATTTCTAAATTAATATTTTATCTTAAAAAATTCTTATACTTTATCTAACATATTGAAAATTTTATAAGTTAACTTAATGCTATTTTAACGGGCTATTATAAAGTGATTTAAAATACAAATTGCATGTGATGTTAATATGAATAAAATATTAGCAAATATATTAGACATACAACAAGTATCTAATAGTTTTTTGTTTATTTTGTTCAATTTTGAATAATTCTTTATAAGCTTCATATTCACATTAAAAAGTTATTTATACATACATTATGTCTCTCTTTTATTAACTTAAAAACCTTCTGATTTAAGAACAAATTTTGTTTAAAAGATATAAATGACTCAGAAATTAAATATTGTTTTTGATTTGAACTATTTTAGACAAATATGTTTATCCAATATTATCTTATCATTATTACTATAGTTGAACTTGGTTAATTCGAAGTTCACAGGGAATGCAAAATAGTTAGAATTATCCAAAATTCGAATTAAACATTTTCATTGATAATTATTAAGTAATACCAATAAAATGTAATTACTGTACTTTAGTTGTCACATTTTGTTTCTTGTTAAGCTTAATTCACACTGAAAGCAAATTGCTGGCAAAAGCAAAGAAACAGAGCGATTAACATATCATTTCCAGCAAATTTTACCAGTACACAAATCCCCCAGAAATTTGGAATTGTTGAACTTTTTTGCTAGTGAAAAAATTTTGTCACTTATCACAGTGCCATTTGTTGTTAGACTTTCTAGCTGTTTATAAGCTGGTTACAAAATTATCACACAACATAGTAGACATCATAATTAGCATGATTTTCTTGCAATTCACACTTTTTAAACATTTTTCTCACCCAACTTTGTTTTCTTTTCAACATATCTTTCATTTTTTTTGTAACAAATATTCAATAGTGATTAAAAACAATGTCAAAACTATTTTGTTTTACCAATGGCACATTTCTCTCTTGCTTGTAAATAACTGACTGTTCAAAATTCTCAATCATACTTTTTGCAGTCCAGACACAATTTTGCATTTGTTTTTTGTTTTGCTTTTTGCTATTTGCTCAGTGTGAACTAAGTTATTCCAGGTTTGAATTTCCAAACTCTTGTAATTTTTGAAATATGAGGATATTCCAGCTTCAAATTAAACAGGTGATTTCTACATTACAGAATACTTATATACATTACATATTATACAGAATACTTATATTAGTATTTTGTGTAATATGTTGTGTTCACTTATGTTCACTTACAAAGACACAATTGTTATTTTCTATTGATTTCAGTTTTGAAGTTTTTTTTATTGTACTGTCCTCCAATATACTTTAATTAACATTAAAAGTTTTTCCAGCACATATATATGTGCTGTTTTATATATGTTATATTTTGTCATTATGGAAATCAAGAAATACAAATTCAGATGATTTAAAATAAACTGAATTGTAAAACTTCTACATATACCTTTAATGATAATTATAAACTTAATCTGTTTATTGAGGAAAAACCTCGGTTCTAATTTTCTGTTCATTTTCTTTGATTTCGACTGTTGCTTTTCTAAATTTAAACTTTTGGCAACTTATGATACATTCTTTTCTTTTTTTAAGACAATCCAAACTTCATATCTTTGATTCTAGAGAAGTAAAGTCTCTTTTCAGTATGAGTTTTTAATTTTCATTAGACATAACTTTATTAAGAATTAAATTCTATTCCTAAGAAATTATTCCAGTACAATTCTTAATGTTGTTTTGATTTTTATTTAATCTATTATTAACCAATTCTCAAAAGTCAAAATATTTAATGGTCTTGAAAGTATTTAGTATTGTTGTTACACTTGTGACTACTGCTTCAGGTTCAGTGCTAAAAACTAGTGCTTGTTCAAACAAGCACAAATGTAGAAATCTCCCAATAAAATAGACTGAAATATCCCAATATTTTGTTGTTTTTTAACAGCTGAAATTCACACACAAAATGTTACAGCAAATTATTTGTTGAAGTACTGTATTATACAGGGTGTCTCAGTTAAACGTTTCAGAACTTCTAAGAGGGGTAGGGTGCATCCTGACGACTCTGAATCGTATAACAATGTACGGTCGGAAATGCTTTCCTGAGATGGTAGATGGTGCTGTGCGAAAGTTCCAAGCATTCTTGCAGGGAATCGTCAATTCGCACAGAGTTAACCAATATGCATTTGGTGTATGGGTCTGCAGATTATAGTGGGCCAGCCACACAGCGCTTATATGCGGAACAATATCTGATGAGGCATATTCCCAGCCATAATTTCTTTGCAGCACCAGAGGTTAGCTGTTTCTGTGCACATCACCACTTCAGGAAAGCATTTCCGACCCTGCATTGCTATATGATTCCGAGTCGTCGGGATGCACCCTACCCCTCTTAGAAGTTCTGAAACATTTAACTGAGACACCCTGTATAAATATTGCTTAAATAAGTTAAATTTTAAAATTTTTTAATATCCAACTTTATAAATTAAAATAAGTCTAAATAAAAACAATATACAAATGCATTTGCATTTTTCTGAACTTTTCATCAAAAATAAACAATAAAACTGATTCTATTAGGGGAGAAATAAATACTATAACACTTATACAAATTAGACAACTCCATGAAAAATTGAAAAACATTTTATGCTGGAAGGGATTAAGGAGTCTAACTTTTAATCAAGAATTAAATGCTTTTCAGCACTACATCCCATCATCAGAATCCATGCAAAAAAATGTAATACAAGTGTTGGCAATACATTCCAACAGTTCTTTTTTTGATTGTTTGAAATATTTAAATTTTTTTAGAGTTTCATATCATAATGGACTTTTTAAAGGTCGATAGCATGTTCCAAAAGATTTTCAATATTTGAGATTTTAAACATGTTCTGGAGTACAGTGACATGACAAAAATAACATTGAAGTAGAGGAATAAGCAATTCATGTCAGATATAGAAGTTTGTAGCTAGATGAGTATGCATACAATTGAAGCAAATCATAAAATAAAATAATACAAAACAACATAAATATGTTAACATAAACAAAACAAGGGACACAATAGACTATAGTCTTATTTGTGTGATACCAATTTAATTATCCACACCCATGGATTCAAAACTGATTTGTCTTTCTGTTTGTTTAAGATCAAATTCAACATTATTGTGATAACCAGCTCTTTTACTGTTTTGATGGGTAAATTTTTGGCAGTGGGAATTTAATCTCCACATCTTTCCAAACTGAAACAGAGATTTTGTTTAGGATCAACTTATCTGTTAGTGTCACAAATTTCTTTGTGTGGATGTGGAGATTATAATTCCCACTGCCAAAAATTTACCCATTATAATTATAATTTAAAAATACAAAAATTGTATGCATACTCTATAATTTATTAATCACAATATTGTCTTTATAAAATGCTTACTTTCAGGTGGCCAACTTTTTAAATTTTTCACAA